CGGCCCATTGGGCTGCTGGGATGGCTTCCGCGCCTCTGGAGTCGCGCCCGTCAGCCCCGCGCGAGGCGATGGGACCACCAGATCGACCCAGGCGTCATTTCGGGGCGGCCGAGGGCGCGCGGCCGAGGAAGCCGGCCGGTGGCAGGCCCTGCGGTCAGAGGCCGCACACGCACGCGGAGAGGGCCGCCCTCATCGACCTCTGGAAGGCGTACGAGCTGGTGGATTTGGTGATCATCCAGGAGCGGGGCATCTTGGCAGGTTACCCGCGGGGGCTCCTCGGCATGGCCCTCGCGCTCTATTCAGGCGAGCGGCGATTCATGCTTGACGGCAGCGTCTCCGACCCCTTCCTGCTGGACGCGGGCATCATTGCTGGCTGCTCGCTGCTGGGAGGCCTCTCAAGTGCGGCCTGCTGGTCCTCGCCGACGAGCACGCTCGACTTTGGCGAGTGCTAGAGCCGCGCGTCACGCTCGCGATCCTGTTCGACGACTGCTACGTGGGCTGCCACGGCCCTATAGCACAGGTCGCGGCATGCGTGGCCTTGGCTACGCAGGCCGCGGTCGCGCAGCTGTTGGCGCTGGGCTGCGAAGTGTCGGAGTCCAAGAGCGAGCTGCTGGCGAGCTCGCCCGGGTTGGCCTCGCTCGTGGCCAAGCAGATGGGCGGCTCGGCCTTCCCCATCGCGGATTCGGTCAGGAACCTCGGCGTGGACTACTGCCTCGACGGCCAGGCCTTCGTCGCCCCCGAGATGCGCCACTCGAAGGCAGCCGCGCAGCTTCAGAGGCTGCGCGCGATCCGATCACAAGAGACACCCGCCGCGGTGAAGGTGGCCAACACGGGCCTTCGGCCAGCTACGCGGCACGGCCTCAGCGCGGCTGGCTGGCCTTCGCCGCAGCTCACCAAGTGGCGGAGGCAGGTGGACGCCGTACACCACGGCAAGGGCCCTGGCAAGAGTCTTCGCTTCAGTTTCCTCCTCAGCAAGCGCCCGGCTAGCGACCCGCTCCTGGACCATGTCTCGCTGCCCATCGCGGCGCGGGCCAAGGCCGCGCAGTTCAACCCGGACCGCGCCGACCCACGGGCTCTCGACAGCGCGTTCGCGGAGGCCTTGGCACGCAAGGAGGGGGAGGGCATGGAGGCCCTGGCGGTCCCTGGCGGGCCGAGGGCCTGCATCAGCACGCGCGCTGGCGCGCCGCCGCTTGGGCTGGTACGCTGCTAGACCAGGCTTCTTCCTCAACGACCCGAAGCAGCCCGTAGACCTGAAGACTCTGGGCTCGTCTACATTGACCAAGCGCATTGCTGCGAGCCACGAGCGGCCCCCTGTGGCGGGACGCGGCCAAGCACCCTGGTCTCGAGCACATGGCGGGAGGGGGCGCACTCCAGCACACGGCGCATCCTGCACCGCAAGAGGATGAGCAAGCAGACGGCCAAGCTGATGAGTTCGGCCAAGAAGATGTCTCTGGCCAGTGGCTCGGCGCTTCGAGGCTGAGCGTCCGCCAGCATCGTCGAGGGTGCCAGGTACACGGCACTGTGCGACACCTGGCCCGGCAGCGCCCCGCCGCGGCATTCGGCCGCGCCGAATGGGGGGCCAACGACGACGGCGACGAGAGGCGACCGCCAGACGACATCCACGTCAGGGCCATCGTTGACATGGCCAGCACGAACGAGGCCGAGGATCCTCTCTGACCGCGGGCGTTCGCACCAGAGCGCGGGAGGTCTCTCCCACCGCCCACGGAGGAGAGGACGGCTCTCAAGGAGGGCCGCGGCGACCTGGTGGGGCAACCCCCCATGGGCGACCTGTTCACGGATGGCAGCGTCTTGGACCCGAGCTTGGTCTCAGCTCGCGGCGGCTGGGCAGCGGTCGTCATGGGTCAGGACACGGAGGCCGTCAGCATCTTTGGCCCGCTGCCCTGGCCCTACCCTCAGGAGTCGGGCGCGGCGGAGCTGGCCGCCGCCATCGAGGGGCTCCAGAACTGCATACCCCCTGTCAGGATCTTCACCAATTGCCAGCTGCTCGTGGACGGCTTCGCGCGCCTATGGGCTGTGATCGAGGACATCGGTATCGACAACATCACCATCCACAAGGTGAGGGCCCACGCGACGCTGGCGGACGTCCAGGCCGAGCGCATCACCGCGTGGCAGCGGCGGGGCAACCACAACGCCGACGCGCGCGCCATTCAGGGCGCGCAGCGGCACCCTTCGGACGAGGCTGTCCGCGCCCGCAGCCGGCGCCAGGATCGCCTAGTCAGGAAGGTCTTTCGCTGGCTGGGAGCTGCTACGCAAGAAGGCGGCACCGAGCTGACGGCGGGGGACGGCCACGACGGCCCAGGCATGGCAGCAGTGCGGTGCGACTGCACTGGAGTAACCACTGCAGCTTCCACGATTGCCCAAGGGGGACGTGCGGTCGGCACGGCACGTGGCTGGAGGTCGGCAGAGACACGCTCTGGGTTTGCCAGGAATGCGATGGGCGCGGCGAGGCGATCTCGGGTTCGTGGACCTCGGGCGCAGAAGGCGCCTCGGGCTCCGTCGCAGCGGCCGCGGCGATCCTCACCGCGAGCGCCGTGCTCCTCTCCAAACAGACCAGCGGCCCGCACGGAGCTGCAGCAGATGATGGTGAACGCCGTGGCGGTGGCGGCGGTGGCGCCTCGGCTGGCAGCGGCGGCGCGGCCGCGGCGGCGCGAGAACAGCTTGCTGCGCAGCCGCCGCCCCCGCCCCCACCAGCTCTTCCACCGTGGCGGGGGCTCGACCCGCACGACTCCCACGAGCTATGGCGCGCAGGCAACCACTTCTTCTGCGTCAAGTGCGGCTACTGGACGCAGAGTGGCAGGATGGCAGGCTGGGCGAAGGAGTGCCCGAAGCCCCCAGGAACGACAGGCAGACGGCGGTCCTCGGCCGTCTCGAGCGAGGGCTGCAGTCAGCGGCAGGGCAGCGTCGGTGATCCTGAGCCCTTGCGCCGCATGCGCAGGCGGATGGACGGCTAGCCAGCCTTGCCGATCTAGGGCCAGAACCATGTGCGCAGGTTCGCTCACGCACGGGACCGGGCCCGACGCCGATGGCAAATGCAACGAGTCCAAGCGTGAGGCCTGGGCCGTCAGGATAGTTGCGTTGCTGTCGGCTAGGTCGCTTCGACGTTGCTCGCAGTTTACTTCCCACGCGTGCAAGGCCTAGGCCCGGCGCGCGCGCTCAGTTGATTGCAGCTTGCAGCGTAGGCTAAACCAGGTGCGTAGGTTCGCCCGCACTCGGGATCGGGCCCCGATACCCGCGGCACCGCAACCAGTCCAGCAGAGGCCAGGCCAAAGGACGGGACGCGATGCTGCGGGCACTCTCTCTCTCTCTCTCTCTCTCTCTCTCTCTCTCTCTCTCCTTTCTAGCAACATGGCTCCGTGTTCGGTGCTGCCTTCTACCGCAGCGTCGGCTGCCTCTCTCGCGTGGCACGCTTGAGCGGAGGCTGACCCAGGTGCGTAGGTTCGCCCACGCACGAGATCGGGGTCTGAACCCATTGGCAATGCAACCAGTCCGAGTGGGATGCAAAGAGCTTGGGTCGAGTTGCGTTGCTGATGGTAAATATCCTGTGCTGCGTGCCTCTCTTGCTTTGCTCAGTCGCGGCACGTTCGGTGCCTCCAGGCTCTGTCGCATGAGCGGAGGCTAAACCAGGTGTTTAGGTTCGCTTACACATAGGATCGGGCTCCAATGCCAACGGCGTTGCAACTGTCCCATTGGGGCTTGCCCCAGGGACCAGGGAAGTGTTGCGACGCCGGTGGCGATGTGTTGTCCTGCGGCCGTTGCGCCCGACGCGCGCTTCACTGCCTGGCTCAATCTGGCTGGCGCGAAGCGCCATGTCATATCAGCAGCACGACCGTGCCCTGTGCTGCACCTCGCTGGCAGCATCAGGCTGCCCTCTTCATTGCCGCGATGCGCGCCTTCCGTGCAGCTCTGCCCTGAGCGGTAGCTTCGTAGGCTGACCCAGGGGCGAAGGTTCGCCCTCAATCGCGATCGGGCCCCGCACCATTGGCAATACAACCAGTCCGTCTCAGTGGCCAGGAGCCGAATTGACGGGTTGATCTGCTGATGGGAGGTGCAGTGGAGCGCTAGCCTTCGTTTCGGCATGCTAGCACGCCGTCCGTTCAATGTAGCTTCTGGTGCGCCGTGCGCGACGGCTGCCCGCACGTCTGTCGACGTGGAGGGCGACCCGACAGCGTAGGTTCGCCCACGCTCTGTTTCGAACTCCGCAGGTTTGAGGAACAACCGCGCCAGTCGGAGTGGCCTGGGGCCTTGGACCTGGTTGCTTCTCAGGTGCGGTGCACAGCAATGCCGTGCACCAGCCCGCTTGACCGCGCAGCGGGGCCTCTGCTAGCTGCCGTGCGGGCTGAGTCGCTCCGACTGCTGGGATCGGTCATCCGCTTGCCTCGGCTGAGGCGGTTGGTTGCTCTCGGCACTCGGACGAATCTGCGAGTGTGCGCCGAGGCGCACGTGACCGAGCGTTGCCGCCGCAGGGCCAAAGGGAAACGCCTCGATCCGAGGTGCAGTACGAGCTAGGAGCTCCTGACCTTTCAGACGCGGGGATCATCATCATCTGCATCATCATCATCCCCACCATCATCATCAGCAACATCATAATAATCATCAATATCATCATCGCCATCATCGTCGTTATCACAATCGTCATAATCATCATGATCACCATTATCAGCTGCACCACAAGGCATCACCAACATTGTCATCAGCGATTGCCACGAATGGTGGTATCATGTGATGGCCCGTTCGTTCTGCCTAGCACAGAGGGCCTGAGCGCAGACAGCGCGGTCGCGTTCCACAACCTGGCACCGGTCTGTAGTACGACAGCTTCGTCAGCGGATAATCAGTGCCAAATCAAGGATCGCATCTACAGTGTGCATCTCATGTGTTCCCCAGCTGTGGTGGCTCTACCGACCTGACTGAATCATGTTACCGAATGTGCTTCTCATAGAGGGCAGCTGCTCATACATCAAAGTTTTGAGTTGTTCTGGTGCATGATTCATCTCCACGTGTTTCAGCGTTGTTCCCCCATTTTGTTATTGTTCAGCGTGGCCGCAGCTACGCCTCTGATCTATTGGGACGTCGACAGCTCTGCTGACATTGATACTCCAGCTGCGATTCTGCGCGGGGACAGGGGTCTTCCTGTGACGCAGTACAGCACTGGATTCAATGGCAATGCCACGAACATCTATGGAGGCAGAGGCCGGATGCCACACTTTCAGGGTGCTACGCCGATTAATGGAGGCATCCCGCAGCATGGCAATTTGAGCGAGCACATTGAATATTACGAGCGAGACCTCGCCGCCCTGATTCCCAAGGAGGACTTTGTTGGCGTGTGTCTTATTGATTACGAGTTTTGGCGGGCAGATTGGAACAGCACGCCAGGCGTTTACCGCACTAAGTCCATTGAGGCTACTGGGGGTGACGAGGTGCTTGCAAAGGCCGAGTACGAAGAGGGCGCACGTCTTTTTATGCTTGCGACCATCAATGCGACGAGGAAGGTGCGCCCTGGATGTCAGATTGGATGGTACGGGTATCCAACGAATCATCTTCCGTTCATCCCTAGCGTGAGCTACACGAATTGGTGCAGCTGGCCCCAGAATGTAGGTGCTTGCTTCTTCGAAGGGTACGATACACCCTCTGGCGAAGCGCAACGCATGCTGAACGATGAAATCCTGTGGTTGTTTAAAGCCCTGGATGTTCTGACACCGTCTGTCTATCTGGGTATTCTGCCAGATCAGACGACATACGACGAGAGCCGTGCATACGTAAACTCGACTGTGCTCGAGGCGGTCCGCCTAGCAGCCGCGAGTGGAGGCAAGAGTGTGGTACCGGTGACATGGTATATGACGAACAATTATCGAAGACGCCTACGCGAATCACCGCCGCCCCCTGCCTTTTTGGAAGTGCCTATGTGGCAGAACGTTGAGGTCAGACCTGCCAAGCTATCGGACCTTGTGTTCCCCGAATCGGTGTGGAAAGCCTTCGTGGAACACGTGGGCATCTTGAAGGTCATCTTGGCCGTTTGGAGGCCATTTTGACCCTTTCGGGCCTTCTTGGAGGACGTCTTGGAGGGATCTGGGGCCGTCTTGGAGGCCATCTTGAGCGTTTTGGAGGCCTCTTGGGCCGTCTTGGGGGCCTCTTGGGGCCGTCTTGGGCCTCTTTGGCGATCTTTGGGGGCACTTGGGCAGTTTCGGGCCGTCGGAAGGCCGAGAAGAAGCAAATGCCACAATCCTTCAAAAACTCATGGGAAACTAATGATTTGGGCCTTTTCGGGCCTTCCTGGAGGCCCTCTTGGAGGCCTCTTGGGCCGTCTTGGGCAATCTTAGGGCCATCTTCGGCCGTTTTGGTGGGATTCTGGCCCGTCTGACGCCGTCGGAAGCCGTTTGGGGCGCCACTCTGGGTCGACTTGGGGCCCTCTTGGAATGCTCCAGGGCCGTCTTGGAGGCCATCTTGGCGTCTTAAAGGCCTCCTGGGCCGTCTTCGGGGCCTCTTGGGGCCGTCTTGGGGTCCTCCTGGGCCGTTCTGCGGCAATCTTGGAGGCCTCTTGGGCGGTCTTTGTGCAATATTTAGGGGCTCTTGGGCCGTCTCGGGCCGTCGGAAGGCCGAAAGAAGCAAATGTCAAAATCCTTCAAAAACATAAGGAGCATTAGTGTTGTTGACATTTTCCGGCCTTCCTGGAGGCCCTCTTGGAGGCCTCTTGGGCCGTCTTGAGCCATCTTAGGGCCATCTTCGGCCATCTTGGTGGGTTCCTGGCCCGTCTGACGCCGTCGGGAGCCGTCTTTGGAGCCTCACTGAGCCGGCTTGGGGCCCTCTTGGGGCGCTTCGGGGCCGTTTTGGAGGCCATCTTGGGCGTCTTGGAGGCCTCGTGGCCCGTCTTGGGGCTCTTTTGGGGCCGTCTTGGGGGCCCTTGTGCCATCAAGGAGCCCTTTTGGAGGCCTCTGCGATCTTGGGGCGATCTTGTGGGCCTCTTGGGCCGTCTTGATCCGTCGGAATGCCGAGAAGAAGCAAATGCCAAAATCCTTTGAAAACCTAAAGACAATCAATGATTGTGGCCTCTTCGGACCCTCCTGAAGGACCTCTTGGAGGCCTCTTGGGTCGTATTGGGCCGTCTTGGAGGCTTCTTGGGCGAACTTGGAGATATCTTGGACTGTCTTGGGCCGTCATGAGGCCGTCTTGGACCACCTTGGGCGGACTTGGAGGCCATCTTGGACCATCTTGGAGGCCATCTTGGGCCAGCGTGGCCATCTTGGAGGCCATCTTGGGCCATCTTGGAGGATTTGTGTCCGGATTGATGTCCTTGGCAATCTTTCCGGGTGGCCAGCGGGACGGGCCGAAGCCCCAGGGGGAGTTTTTTTGGAGAAAGAACCAAAACCTAAACTGAGAGGGTTCAGCGCGCCAGGCACCCCTGCGATGAATCGACAGGGGGCGGCGGATACAGTGGCATTCGGACCAAACCGCCACCATGCCTGGGTTATGGGCCAGAGGCCTACAGGATGCCTCTGGAGGTTTCGTTGAAGGTCTCTTCGAGGCCTCTTTGGGAGCTCTGGGTGGTCTTGTGGAGGCCCCTGTGGGGCATATTGCTAGCTTGCTCGCGGCCTCACGGGGAACTTCCTTGCGGTCTCGTTGGCCCAGGCCATCTTGGGGTCTCAGTTCGTGTTCCCCCGCTCCGGGGCTCGGAGACCGTTTTTGGTGCATTCGGCGCCCCTGAGCCCGAAAATGCGGGCGGACTAAGATCATTGAGCAACCTGAGGCTTTTCATTGCTTCTGGCAGTCGTGAAGGCACGCGCCCGAGAGGGTTCCAGGACAGGCTCGGCTACCATCGTAAGCCATGTTGGACGCCTGTGAGCCCAGCCACGTTGCCGAGGCCTCTGCCCTGGAAGCGCCGGAGAGCGCCCGGGCTCGCCCAGAAAGTTGCCCCCCGGGCCCAGCGAGCGAGCAGTCACAGTAACAGAGAGACTTCCAAGGGAGCTGAGGGCAGTCCACTTCGTGCCTCGGGGCACGGCGGAGGATTGGCAGTACGGTCCTCCTGCGCCGAGGGAGTTCTTGAATCTGGAGGACTCGCGGACCGAGTTCCAGCTGCCTTTTGCCGCGGGAGCGGATGCGATCCTCCTGTGGGGCGCCGTCAACGAAGTGCACAACGCTTCAGCTCTTCAAGAGTATGTCGATACAACTCTGTCAGTTGTATTGGCAGAGATGGAGGCCCAGACTCCAGCTCCTTCGCCCAGCGTGACGACAGCCCCTACGCCTGCGGGCCCTAGTGCATACGGCGACCCCCATATGGTCAACCTCAGGAATGAGCGTTTTGACGTTCGTAAGCAAGGCGCCCACGTCTTCCTCCAGATCCCACGCAAGGCCACACCTGAGGACACATACCTCCGTGTGGAAGGACACGTGCAGCATTTCAAGAACTGCCAGGTCCAGTTCATCAAGAAGATCAATATCCAGCAGCCTGCGGCGCACCGCACCCGCACCAGCGCAGCAGCGCCGCAAGGATGAAGTGTAGCTTGAGGCCTGTTCCAGGTCAGCGCCTATCTGCCCTCGTCCCGCTCTTGCACGCCGGCCTTTTCGCTTCTCGGTGCCCCGTCTGGCTCTATCGCTGGTGCAGCCAACTCTGCCTCGCCGCCGACGACAACTATGCCAGGTCAGTGCCGTATCTGAACCGGCTGAACTCGAGCGGGTCTTCCGCGCCCCGTCCTTTTCCACAGCCTCGCTCTTCCGCCCTGCCTTCACCTCGGAGGCCGCTCGGGAGCTTCTCGGGGGCCTGGTTGGTGCAGGCCTCCAAGGGGGTGGGGGGGGACACTGCCGTCTTACAGTCGGGGCCCTGAAGAAGGAACCCTTTTCGTTGGGGAGGGGCTCCACGTTCCTCAAGTGTTTCGCAGCTTGCCTCAGGTTGTCCTTATGTTTTCGATCGGAAATCGAAGTTTAGCTCATGGGAAAAAGGGGCCTCGTTCCTTATTTTGGGTTCCTTAGGTCAAGCCCCCGACTGTATGGCTCTACCGAGATCTCTCGACGAGGCCCGGAGCCTTTGGGGAAGGGGGCGGTCGTCGGCCGATCTTGGGGGGGGGTTCTCGACCCACCCCTGGTCTCGCCTGGCGGCTCTCCTGCGGCCTCGCGGGCGGTCGTCGGGGGGGTCCTGGAGGTTTTCTCCGATGCCTCCCCGAGGCGGCCTGAAGCTGGAAAAGCTTCGGGAGCATAGCACCACGAAAAACACATAAAAGGAGGAGGGTTAGGAGTGCGAGCTAACACATAAGCATGTGCTTCTTGGTGGTTGAATGCACGTCGTTTCTTTAGGGCCTCGCTGGAGGCCTCTCGTTCCGTGCCCTGGATCCTCCTACTCCTGCTTGGGGGCTTTTTGGCAGCTTCTGCCGCGTCGTCGCTGGGCCGTCTTAGGCTGGTCTTCGGGCCTTATGAGCCGTGTTGGGGTGGTCTTTGGCCGTCTTGGAGTTGTCTGAACGTTGACCAGGGCACTAGGAAGCAAATCGTGTGATGCTGTTTCTTGAGGATGGACAAGAGCGTCGGCTCCGAACAACCAAAGACATTGACACTCCAGTATCGCGAACGCGCGGTTGCGGATTACGGGCAAGTGGGTGGACGAGAAGAGCCCAGGAGGCCGTTTTTTCGATGCGGATGTGCCCAACAAATTCAGCATACTCCGGACGAACGGTCAGAGGTATTTGACATTTGGTCCAGCCCGAGTTAAGGTGGAGTATTACTATTCGCGGAAAGGGTTCGGGTTTTTGAATTTCTACGCCCTCTCCCTGTCCAGCGTTCGCAGTCCCATCGGTGGAATCCTGGGTTTGGACGACCACTCCTACGCGACCAAAGGGGATTGCCAGATCAGGCCTCGCAACGTAAATCTACGTCAGTTGAAGTTTCGACCGAGTCTTGAAGTGGAGCCAGACGAGGTAAGCGATGCGAAGGGTTCGTTTGCGTCAGCAAGGTTAGTGTGACCAACAGCATGGTCAACGGCAACAGCTGCAGCCGTTGGGATGATTTGCGCGTGGCGTAAGCTCAGCGGCATCATGAGTATGGTATCGTCACAGATGTTGTACCGTTCGGGGTCTACTTCGACATTTCTGGGGAGCGAAGTCAATGTCAATTTACGCAGCGGCCTTCTGCGCATCCCGCCATCGTGCCTGCGTTGCGGGCCCAAGGGCGAAACAGGGTCGTTGGAACGCAACAGCGAATTCCGGCCATGCTAAAAAGGAATGCAGGTTCGCGTCGTGTCGACGCGGCGTCGACCCCGCAGTGGGCGTTCAAGGCTCTGGCGCAGGGTAAGCCTTTTCAGGAGCGACAGGAGGACGTACACGTACATGAATCATCGCTGGTTTCGAGAGTACGTATTGCGCAAATGTTCGTATAACGCGGCTGGTCTCGCGGATCCAACGGCCGTGTTCATGTACATAGCTGGGCGCGTACGTCCTTTGCGGGCTCCCTACCTTTGATCGTTCAAGCTTGAACGATCCACGCGGTGTCAGAAGCCAACGCTGGGTCGCCACGATCCGAACTGGTTGCCGTAGGTTACTTCGGCCGTCGCTTCCGTCGCCTTTTGTCGAGGACGTGAGGCGGGATACCGTGGACGCTCGGGGGGCTACCGGGGCACGGCTCGGCCGGGTGCTAATAGAGGGTGACCCGAATGGGGGGGGGGAGAAAAGGGCCCTAAAAGTGCCCTTGAGGGTCCCATTTGGAGCTAGCATGTGCAGGGCCCCTTGAGGGCCCTTTTCTTCACTTCCGATTTGGGCCACCCCCCATTAGCACTCGCCGAAACGGCGTCCGCAGCACGCAGAGCAGGCAAACGGATCGCCATCTTGTGTTCGTGAAGACCACCTCCACGTTGGGCGCGGGAAAGTAGCACCCCCCTAAAGACAGATGCCCCGCCATGGGCGTCACCCCTACATACTACTACTATTACTACTACTACTACTACTACTACTACTACTACTACTACTATTACTACTACTACTACTACTACTACTACTACTACTACTACTACTACTACTACTACTACTACTACTACTACTACTACTACTACTACTACTACTACTACTACTACTACTACTACTACTACTACTACTACTACTACTACTACTACTACTACTACTACTACTACTACTACTACTACTACTACTACTACTACTACTACTACTACTACTACTACTACTACTACTACTACTGTGTGCGTTGCTTCCCCATGGGCGACGCGCGCACCGAGAAATCTTGTGATACATGCGGCGTGGTGGGCACTGTCTGGCCACACCGCTCGGGAAACGAGCTAATACTAAGACGTGTATGTTATATGGTCGGGTCGGACGCGGGCCTCCAAGGAGGACATAATAGTATTAGTATGTTATTCTGCGCTCGACATTGTGTTCGTGAAGACCACCTCCACGCCGGGCGCGGGAAAGTAAGACCCCCCCCGAAAGCCAAAACGCCCCCCCACCCCAGTGTTTCACAACGCGCTTCTGCGCGGCCCAGTGCCGGCGCTTCGCTGAGCCCTCAGAGCGACCCACCTGGACTCCCCCCTTGGGTGCCTCGCACACGTCCTGCTGACGCTCCAACAGGATCTGCTGCGAACGGAGGGGGGGGGGAAACGAGAAGGAGAAGGCCTTCTCAGAAGGCGGCGGGGCCTCCTAGGAGCCCCGCCGCCGCCACCGTCTTCTCATGAGGATTGGGGACGTCCGAGCCTTCCGAGCAGGCCCGCCCCTTCTCGCCTACGCCCCACCCCTCGCTCGCCGCCGAAAGTGAGGCGACACCGCTGGGTCTCGTGGCGACGAGCCTGCCCCGCTCCCCGGCCACCGTCCCCCGAGGGCCCCTCCTGAGCCGCTCCCCCCCCCCGTCGGGCTCCGATGGGCCCGCCCCGGCCAGGAGGAGGGGAAGGAGTCAGATCAGCGACGCGCGGCAGGTGCAGGCTACCCAGGCCCCCTCGCGTCGTGAGCAAAGTGCGGCGGGAGGTCTTTCTCGCCATGTTCGGCCTCCGTGGGGGCCCTCGCTGGGCCCCGGGAGGGTCCACAAACAACTCGGGACGAAACACTGGTCCCAGGGCAGTGGGGTCGACGCTGCGAAAAAAAAATGCGACGCCGGGGGGCCTGGGTATGCCGTGCAAGCGACGTTGGTGTAAGCCATCTATGGCGGAGCCCGTGCGGTGCAAGTGGGGGGTGCAAGCTTGCGTGGTGCAAGCCATGTTGTGTGGGCTGTGTGGGGAACTATGTTGTGTGTGTTTTGTGTGTGTTTGTGTTTTGTGTGTGTTTTTGTGTGTGTGATTGTTGTGTGTGTGTTTTGGTTGTGTTTTTGTCTATACTGTGTGGGCTGTGTGAGGTGCAAGCTGTATGGTAAAAGCCAGGGTTGCGAAAGCTCCGCGGCCGCCCCGCGCGCGCGCGGCGCCCACGGGCGGGCACCGGGCGAAGCCTCGGCCGGCTCGCCCAGCGCACGCGGCGACCTCGGGCGGGCACCAGGCAGAACCTCGGCGGATCCGCCAGGCGCACGTGGCGCCCACGAGGAGGCGCTCCAAGCCAGAAGACATGGGTGCGAGGCGATGTGGGCGGGCACCAGGCAGAACCTCGGGAGAAAAAAACAGGAATTTTGAAGAGTGTGTGTGTGTGTGTTTTGCGTTTTTTTTGTTTTTTTTTAATCCGCCAAGCGCACGTGGCGCCCTCGAGGCGCTCCGAGCCAGAAAGCCTGGGTGCAAGGCGATGTGGGCTCGCGCTGGCGGAGGCCGCTCAATCCGACGAACAGCGAGGAGGCAGCGTTTTCTAGCTCGTTGGTGCGACGCACCATCTGGCTGTTAGTCAAGGGTTATTCCTTGTCTACCCGCTCATGATATCCTGGCATAGTGACTCCGACTCCCCCCTGAAGGAGCTGGGACGCGCAGGAAAAAACGTGGTCATCTATTATAAGAGATTTCCAAACCCATGTTTGCATGATTCCCCTAAACCGTACTTCCTAATTTTCGACGTACACGAAAGGCCCTACGCATCAGGTTTTGGCATATGTCACCGTTTGGTTGCATGCTGGGCTTCGTGTTAAGATAATTGGCCCGACGCGCTAACCTCTAATCGCTGTCGCCATGGGGTTGCGCTGTTGCGCTGTGGGTCCCGCGGTGCGCAGTGGGTTGCGCGGCTACCAACTGTCCAGAAGTGCCGGCTGCGATCCTTGTCCCCATCAGGTTGCGCGGCGGGTTGCGTGACGGGTTGCGCGATGCAAGGGGGATTACGCGGTGGGTTGCATGATGGTTTGCGGGGTGGTTTGCGCGTCGCCAGGT